ATGAGGTTGGATAGTACATGGGTGACTGTACAATTGGAGTCTTGGACCCAGCAGTTTGAAAAATATGCTGAGCACATGTGGTTGCATGCTCAAATCCTGAAAGGAAAAATGAAGGAGACAAGATTGCATACAGCCATCTTCCATACAGCCATCTTCCATACGGCCATCTTCATATGGCCATCCTTCATGGGAGTTGTTTTCTCTCTTTTGCCCTCTGTCTCTCTCTTGCAAAGGCATATACCCTTTAGCAGAAATTACTTAACAAAAATTCTACTTGGGAAGGAGTTAGTCCTGTTGTAGTGTATAGCACAGAATGTGTTGTGTAGATTCAGCCAGAGTCTCCTATATTGGTGGTATAGAACGATAGCTTAAACACATACACACACTCACACACACACACATACACACACATGTATTTATATATGCTGCTTTTAACATTGAAGAACAGAAAAGGACATCAGTACTACTAATTACTATTCCTACATATTTTCCCAGAGATAACCCACATCCTGTCAACTAGAATTGCCTATGACTTTATACTTTCATAAAGTCTAGAGATAAGGAAGAACATGTCTGCTTCATTTAGTCCAAATATTTGCCTCATTCTGGACTATATCCCAGGATGATTCAGAGCAGGAACATTGATTCTCTTCATTGGAAAGTTCTTCATGCCCATTGTTCAATTTGAGTCATTTACATGATCCCAGAGACAAAAATGAGTCCATTTCTCATGGGCAAATTTTATACTTCTTCAATATAGTTGAATATTTTGATAAAATACTTATCCTTCAGAGACATTAAGAAATTCTAATCTTGTACCTGTCACAAAATGTATTATTAAGATATATGTATTAAAATTAACTTAGCCAAAAATAAAGGAATTATTAAAAGGATTTAGAGACATCTCTCAGAATCCAAAAGAAAAAATGTAGCTAGGTTTCATGAGATTTTGGGAGCAGAACATAGATTATCGGGAACTGAGGCCATGAATCTACTCAGAGCTATACAGACCTTCACCTCCACATCTCTTAGTATATACTTTCTTTGCTCTCTTCTTTGCAGTTAATTAGTTTTGTCTGTTTCTCCAGGTATGCTGAAATGGCATGACTTACTTAATGTGGTGTTAAATAGCTTCCCTGTACAGGTATCTAATATCACGTAGTCTCTTATTTCCAATTCCAAATATCTGCATATAGAACTTGGTTTCTCAGAATAAACAAGTCGTTTATGTGTATGTGCATGTGTGTGTGTGTGTGTGTGTGTGTGTGTGTGTGTGTGTAAAGTGATTTGGAGGGATTAGAGTATCTTCATTTTTGCTAACCTTTCAGTGATCAATAATAAAATAGTCTATTTAATGATTACTGTCACATTTATTAAAATGAAATACAATAATAGAAAGGAGATGATTGGCAGAAAAGGATCATTAATGTCAATCAACAATCCCATATGTGATATTGTATCATTATTCATCTATATTATCTATCTCATTTGAGGTTTTATAATTTTACATTTTTTTGAGAGGTTTTTGCTATAGGGCATGTGTGCTCGCCAGACAGAGAGAGACAGAGAGACAGAAAGCGAGAAATCACCCCCAAGGGGGGATGGCCACACCACAATCCGTTCTCCTCCATTCTCCTCTCAGGATCTTGGGCACGCATGCACACGCGCCTGGCGTGAGTTTTAAGCCACCGGGTCCGGGACACGAACCGCGGACGACCATGTGGGAGTCCAGCAACATAGCCATTACACTAACTGCTGGTCCCTAATTTTACATTTTTAATTCTGTATATCTGGAGGGTACTTTGGTGAAAGCAATTAGGTAAACTTTTAAATTGTAGGGTCAACCCGTGATGTGGTGGTTAAAGCATTTGAATTATACCCAGCCAACTGCACTGATGATGATACTGAAATTTCGTTTGCAGTTTTGAGTATTTTTCTGGATATAAACAAAACTGTTATTAAAAAGTGCTGTCTAGGGACCAGCAGTTAGTGTAATTGGCTATGTTGCTAAATTCCCATGTAGCTAACTGCGTTTTGAGTCCTGGACCCGATGGCTTAAATTCATGCCAGGCATGTGTGCGTGTGCGCCCAAGATTCTGAGAGGAGAATGGAGGAGAAAGGATTGCGGCATGGCCATCCCCCCTGGGGATATATTTCTTGCTTTCTATCTCTTGTCTCTCTCTCTTTCTGGCGAGCGCACACGCCCTATAGCAAAAACCCTTTAAAAAAAAAAGTGCTGTCTAATTCAAAGCCTGTGTTTTTCTATTATTATTTATTCTGTTTTTTAATGAATTGCATGATTTACTACTAATGAATCTTTAATTCAAATATCTACTTTCATTTATTAAACATTGAATTTAGGAAGTTTTTTCATAAGCTGATAACAGGAAGAATAAATTAGAAATAGTAGAGAAATATGCGCTATAAAAAATTAAAATAAGTTTTAATTAGATTGTCAGAAAACTCATGATGTGTTTTTTTCTTGCTTTGCTATGCAAAATTGCATTATGACTTTCCCAACAATATAATATTAGGTGACCAATTTAAAAAAAAAAATGCAAGACCCTTTGATTAAAGCATGTGCTTTATGTGATTTTTTTTCTTTTTGTTTGTTTGTTTGTTTGTTTGCTATATGACGTGTACCTACAAGAGACAGACAGAGGTAGTGAGAAATGAGTGAGAAATAGAGACAGAAAGTAAGAAATCGCCTCTGAGGGGAGATGGCCATGCCACAATCTTTTTTATTATATCCTCCTGTAAGGATTTTGGGCACACCCTGACATTTTCTCTGGGGTGATTATCAAGTGCTGGGTCTGGTATTGAAACTCCACAGGTGGTCTAAAGTCCAGGGAAAGCAGTCACATCTGGTAGCTGAGGTTCAGCACCATGGTTAGAGAATAGTGGGTGGGACAGCTTTTTTCTAAACTTTCTGAAAGGAGAATGTTTGCCTTCTGCTCCTCTTGGCAAGAAGAAAAAAAATAAAAAGATAAAAATAGAATCAGGATGGCAACAGAGTTGTTGTAAGGTACAGATAACAATGAAGGTAGGTTGATTCCTCAGCGCCTTTCCTTTAATCATTTGAGGACTACAGTCAATTAAGAATGCCTCTTAATGGGACTACCAGCTCTCAGTAGGAGTGACTCACCTAATGGACCTGAGTATTTGAGAAGGATCAATACTACGACTATTTAAAAAGTGTCTCACTCAACAGGAATCCTTTAATAAACTATGTATGGATTAAGGTGACTTAAATCAATGCACAATTTGGCTTAGTATTCTTTTAAAAAAATCTCATTTATTTATATTTATTTAAAGTTATAGACTTTGTGCATGTGTGTGCACACAAGCCAAATTATCAAATTATTGTTCTTTTTCTGCTATTTACTATTTCTAAGGCATTATATAATTCAGTGTAGAATTTGGGGCACGTAAATTCTTTTGCTATCTCTTTCGGTTACCTATTAATTTTAGATTATTGATTTAACTTTTTATTAGTCATTACTTTTTAAATAGGTAATTAAAAAGACATGTTTGTGATGTTTGGTTACATTGATTTAGTATGAAAGGTCACTTTCTCTTAGAAATTTTCTTCGTCTTACTTAGAGTACATTAGTGGTATAATGGGATAGAAAATGAAAGATGAGTCCTATGAGCATAGCACAAATAGAAGAAGTTCACATTAGAAAAGTTAATTTGCCTATATGAGATAAACTTGCAGAGGAGGGAGCTGGCAATTGGTGCTGAAGAAAGTTATTCTATTATAAATGACGAAGTTATGCTAGTAATAAAGTCATAAGAAAGCCAGAGAGAAATTACACTTTATGTGTATTGAACAACCGAGTTTAGAACAGTGATGTTTAGTATGTAAAGATTTTTCTTGCTGTATTCTATTATCATCCGCTGCCCTTTAGCTACAATAAAAGTTACTTTCACCAGTAGCCTTGTTACGATGATGTGTAAAGGGAAGAAATGTGGTATTACTTGGGCTAAGGTAATAGTAAAGATACTCAAATGGGAATTTAAGGTGGGTAACATTGGTGAGACAAGCTTAAAAAATGAGCTAACCATTGTAATATTGTACACCCAGCTCCCAATCTGCCTAAACCTCCAAATAATATTAGGAAGCTGGAAAAATCTCAAAGTTCATTTGACTACAGTTAAGATTTTCTTATTTAAACAAAGTAAAAGTCACCTATAGAATGCTGAAGATTTAGGAATATATGGAATTCACTTCTTTCATAATGGACTCTTTAATTTTTAAAGAATTTAGTTTTACTTTAGGGCTTATAACTTGCTTTAATGAATACATAGACCTGAAATATAGTATAGATTTGAACTATGGTTAGTAGATTCTGCTCATCTTTTTACAGACTTCTTTCACTTAATTTCCCCCTATTTATATACACTTGAATATAACTATATGTATAACATATTTTCCTAAACCACAAGTGAACTCTTCTTGATTTTTCCTGATATAATGAATAAATTGTTTTAGAATCTGTGTATTGTTGTGTTAGGACTGACATGAAAATGTACAGCAGACTAGGTGAGTTGAGCAATAAATACCTGCTCTCTAATTGTCCTGGAGGTTAGAAGTCTGAGAGAGATTGGTTTCTTTGGAGTACTCTCTTCTTGGCTTGTATATCCCTGTCTTTACATGAGATCTCTCTGTGTTTGTTATATACTCATCTTATTAGGAGACCAGTCATATTGAATTAAGGCATATATTAACCTCATTTGGCTTAGTTACCTTTATTAAAGACTTGTCTCCACATAGAGTTGTATTCTGAGATACTGGGAGTTAAGACTTCAACATATGAACCTAAAGGGAGAAAATTCAGCTAATATTAGTGTATAGTCTATATTCTGTTTTAGTTCTCATCATCTAGAATCCTGTTTTACATTACACAGTTTTGGTGAATGAATTTGTACTTACTATTGTTGAATTTGGGTAGAAACTTTAGCATTTTTTTTTTGACTGTGGTTTGATTATATTCCAGGACTACCATGAAGACATTGTACTGACCATTTTACCACACTGGAGGAGAGCAGCATCTCATTTGGTCAGTGATCTTTCTGCCATGGAAGTTGCTTGCCAGCTCTAAATTTGAATTGAATGTATGAAATGCCTGATGAGAATATCAATTAAAAATATCTACTCTCCATAGCTGTGTGTGTTTATGTCTTTGTATATGGTGAAGTCACCAGCAACCACATACGCATAGTTGCTTATGGTTTCTGCCTCACCAAACTATTAAACTTAGTCAAAATCATAATCATCTATTTTGTTTTAATAACTCTACTTTGACTTCGACTTCAGTTCTCACTTGTCGAGATTAGGTTTTTATAGGGATTGGTATTTTGCTCTCCTTTGCCCTACAGTTTCTTTGTCAAAACTGGTAGTCTTTGTCATCATGAATCCAGGTCAGACAAAGTGTAACCTACACTCATAATTTCCTCAAAGTTCACAGTTATATGTGTGACATTATTCCCTAATTCCAGCAAAGATTTTTTTCATTTTGTATTTTCCTATGTCTATAATGTAGGTTGGTTTTTTCATGGATTTGGAAATTCACACTCTAACTGTAAACTATCTTTTCCCAAAATTCCTTCTTCAAAAGGATTATAACTATGTGGATCCTTTAAAGATCACACAAGTACTAACATTCAGATTCCCCACTACTAGTTTCCTCCAATGTATTACTTCTCTGACAGTTTGGGATTTAGCAAATGAATATTGTGGACATGGAGCTCTTAGGATCAAGATGAAGCCATTATCCGACCACACAATTTCTGCTGAGAAAATAAAGACTTGTGTCAAACAATTACTATCAACCCATATCATTCGCCTTTAATGGATCACTTTTTAGTTTCAAATATTTTTCCATGTAAATTTAAACAATTTCAACCCAGTCCTAACAAGTTCTCTTCTTTTGCATAGTTGAACACTTCAAATTATACTAGAGAATCAGATAAGTAAAAGGTGCTGCATAGCCAGCTTATTATGTTTCTTTTACTCACGAATGATTTCAAGAAATATTGCTACTGTCTTGGTGCAGGTAGTGGGATACTGCTGGAGCCATCTGGGAAGACTCTGGATTTGGTTCCTGAATCAGCCTAAATTCTCTGAATGTGCTTGAGGGAGGGATCATGATCCCGTCTGGCTGGAGGGCTGTGGGTAGGCGGAAAATTGCAGCATGGTAAGACTGTGTCATGGGTCCATAAAAAATATTAAAAATTGTTACTGTGTTTTACTGAATAATGCCTTGAAGGCAACATTTCTATGTGTCTGGATAATTAGAAAGCACATGCCATTGTAATCTATGGAAAAAAGTTCTGTATTTCAAAGATGTAAAGGAACATTTCAATGCAGTGTCATACATAGATCATGTGTCCATTTTCTGGGCCTGTTACCTTCTAGCATTGTGCAATTATGATATTCTTTGGTTTCCAAATCTAATATTTTAAGTTATAAAACATTTTAATTTGTTTTAAACTAAAATCAAGTCTCAATAAAAAGTAGATGCTCAATAAATCTTAATTACTTTCTCTCTCCAAAACAATTATCTTCTATTATTAACTCAGAAAACCACATTGAACTGCTAATTAGCTTCCAAAACATATCCCATAGGGCATGGCCTAGAAATCAGGACATTGACACACACAAAAAGGACAAAATTAATCTGCACAATTAACTGAGAAATTTAGTCTTTCTTAAATGATCTGAGGAAAGAGTAGATGAGGCCGTAGAGGAAAAAGGGAGGAAGGAAGAATATGAAATAATTGGCGTGCTTTTCATATTGTGGTTAGTAGGAACTACAGAGAGATTTTTAAGAATTTGAGTGAACTCTGTGTTATGTAGTAATGGCATACAGTATCCCTCAATAAAATAGTCCCCAGTGCTCAGTAAAAGTAATAACTAGCCCCAGACGTGAGTAGTAACTGCACAGAGTGACAGAATAAAAGGCAATATTTAAAGTGCACTGTGGTAGAGACCATTGATAATACAGGAGCATGATATGATCTTTCAACTGGACTAACTCACCAAGAATGGGAACTCTCCCTACATCAGTGACTTCCCAGTACTTCTTTTGCTGGAGAGAATGAGAACATAATGAATTATGACTAAATATAATAGTAAATATTTAGACAGTATTAAATATGTAAAACTGTTAAATATGACACAAAAAATACTCTGAAACAGATACTATCAACATAAACATAAGGACCTTGCAGTACAGATAGGTGATTTATCCACTGTCTCACAGATTGCAAGTGGCATAGACAGGATTTGAACCACCGCACATCAGCTCATGTTCTTAACCTCTATACTAACTTCTTTGCACTAGTTTTTGTTTTTCTAACACAGGTGAATGTGGTTTCATTTTTATTTCAATTTTCTAAAGATAACATCTGAATGATACTAAAAATCCTTTCTCTCTTTTTTCAATCAATATATGAAAAGAAGTAGCCAGAAGAGTAAAATCTTGCATATATTTTACAATATATGGTGAGTTATAACTTACACCTTTATTTCTCTTTTCTCTTTAATGCTTGAAACATTGAAGTATATTTCTCATATCCCAGCATCAATAAATTAATAATTTTTAAAACAATTTATGCTATACCTATTTTGTGCTTATTTCAGCCTTAGATATTTGTCTTTGGAGGTGGCATGGAGGTGATAATATTTATTCAACGTGGTCAATATAGGATTTTTCCAGGGCAAGCCAATGACATGGTAGTGAAGGTAGCTGTATCCCAAATGGCAAGCTGTGTAGTTAGAGTTCTGGTCCCAATGGCCCGAAAATCTTGAGAGAAGAATGTAAAAGAGAAGACTGTGGTGTGGCACCTGAGAGTCTTTTCTCACTTTCTGTCTCTCTCTCCTGAGGGAGCATATAAAAGCCCTATAGCTTACTGAAAAATATTACTGTCAATTAGTTAATCACCCTTTTCTTCTTACCTCTTGGGAGTCAGACTGTTTTTAAATAATAGTCAATGAAGCAACCTCATAGGGTATAAACATAATACGGGGTGCCTCTGCCTCTCTTTGGAGAAGAATATGAAAGCATAAATTCTCAATCAAGGTGTACAGTGATGAAACATCTTCAAAAGACCTGGACTCCACTGGTAACTAGAAACACCGTAGGACTTTTGCAGTGTAAAATCTTGACATTTAACTGTATACATATGGTATTATCTGGTATTACAGGAAATGCTGAAGCAGAATGAAATCTTTATGCACTGTTGGATGAAACATTTTCAGTCTTTCAGTAGCAAAGCTTTTGATTTGACTTGCATGAGTTACACAAAGCAATTATGTGTGAACTTCTAGCTTTATTGTTTTAGTGCTTCTTGATAGGCAGGAGTAGGTAGGCTGCCCCAAATTACATTTGGGAATAAAAATCAGGAAGAGAACAGGAACATTCACCTCGGATACATTTGGTTTGCCCAGAGGAAAAAAAATCAGGGTTGTGAGTGATTTCAGGCTAATTCCATGTTGATTTATGTCTGAAACATACATGTGAGTTTTCCCATAGAAAGGTGCTAGAATTTATTAAAACACAAATTTTAAAAATTGTAGTTCTTACTCTGGTAAAAATATGAAAATTTCTCAAACCAAACTGGTGAAAATACTCATGAAATTATTGCAAATCCAATGGATAAGAAAGCAATTTAAAAGGCTTGAGATTGGAGCACTGCCTCTGGAAATCAGGCTTGCAAGTAAATCAAAATAGAGTTCAGAGGAACTGTGCCTACTGTCAGAATCAAACGAAATAAGGAAAGGAGATCATTAGGCTAAAAGTGGAAAAAGGCTTTCTGAACAGTAATGAAGAGATATTAAGGGACAGACTGGATATATAGAAAATGGAAAATGAGATATTGATGGCCAGAAAAATTAAATAAAAAAGGGACATGCAGCCCTAGTACATCTGTTTTTAAGAAGAACATTAGAAAATATGTCCTAACTATTAATGTAATCCAAGATTAAGCATGCAACACATCCTCAGGGTAGCTCTCATTTGTCATAAACATGGAATTTATAAGGGGAATGGTAATTAAAATGTTTGATTATACCAGATTTTTTTTTTTTTTTTACTTTCAGGGGACAATTTGTAAATGTGAAACTTTTTTCCTGCTAGACATTTTAAATAAACTGCCATATTAAACATCAAATGTTTAAGGCAACATAGTTTAATCATAGTTTGTGGAATATATTAACATTTTAATGATGATAAATATTAGATATTTTCTCCTTATTCATTATCCATCACTCACATGCCACTGAGTCTTTGATTTGATCCTTAATACCACTGAATTCTGTTCTGAAATTAAATGTTCTTAGGGAATATTTTGGAGTCTAAAGTTAGGCATGATCTTTAATAATTGGTGACATTGGATTTTTGCTATAATTTTATTTTATATTATTTAAGCTCTTTTTGAAAAATATATATTTATTTATTTTAAATTGACAGATAAAGTTGCATGTATTTATATGCAACCCAAGGTTCGGAATGATGTACACAGCATGGACTAGTACAATCTAATTAGCATATGCGTTGCCTGACATAGTTATCATCTTCGTGGTGAGAAAACTTAACATTCACTTTATTAGGATTTTTCAACAATATAATGTATTGGCTGTGGTTGTAGGTACTACTATGACACTGTTCCACCAGCTAGAACCACATGGGAAATCCAGGTTAAATTTCTAGTCCAATATAAAGGTGAGGCTTGGTGATGTGTACCTGTGATCCCAGCGATACAGGAGAATGAAGCAGGAAGATGGAAAACTCAAGACTGGCCTGGACAACATAGCAAGACGCTGTCTACAAAAGAGCATGGGGTGGACAGTTGGGGGTGGGGAGAAGGGAAAAAAAGATATAACAGATCAAAGAATGGGAAGTTATTGTGTATGGTAATATCTTTGACTTGCTTGACATGTAATACTTATGCTTTGAGACTCCACATTGTATGCTGTAAAAACATACAATGGTCAAATGTTTAAAAAAAAAATAGTGCTGGTCATGGAGTCATACTCTCATAGTCCCAGCTAGAAGGCTGAGGAAGGAGGATCTAGATTTGGACTTGGCAAGATCCTATCTTTAAAAGAAAAGAGGGACCAGCAGTTAGCGTAATGGCTATGTCGCTGAACTCCCACGTAGTTGACCACGGTTCACGTCCCCGAACCGGTGGCTTAAAACTCATGCCGGGCATGTGTGCGTGTATGCCCAGGATCACGAGAGGAGAATGGAGGAGAAGGGATAGTGGCATAGCCATCCCCCATGGGGGGTGATTTCTCGCTTTCTGTCTCTTTGTCTCTCTCTGTCTTTCTGGTGAGTGCACGTGCCCTATAGCAAAAACCTCTCAAAAAAAAAGAAAAATACAATAAGTTGTCATTGGCTATTGTCATCATGATACACAGTAGATCACTTGAACAAAATCCTCCGATCTAGCAATAATTTAATTTCTTTAACAAACATCTCCCTAATTCCTTCTTCACAACTGTCACAGCCTCTGGTAACCATCATTCTCTCTCTACTTCTATAAGGTTTTTTGTTTTTTTTTTACATTCCACATGTAAGTGAGATCATGCAGTATTTGTCTCTCTGTGCTTGATTTATTTTATTAAACATAATGTTCTCCGGGTTCATCCATGTTCTTACAAATGACAGAGTTTCATTTATTTTATGGGTGAGTGGTACTGCATTGGGTTGTGTGTACATTTTCATTATCAGTTCATTTGTGGATGGACACTTAGGTTGATTGCATAGCTTGGCTATTGTGAACTGTGCTACAATATGCATGGGAGTGCAGATATCTCTTTGGCGTAGTGATGATAGATCATATGCTAATTCTATTCTGAATTTTTAAAGAAACCACACTGTTTTGATAATGGTTATTATAATTTACATTCCTATCACCCATGTACAAGGATTCTAAAATTATATTCACAAAACAATACAGCATTGGACTTAAAGAACTTCTAATATGCTAAACCACCTACTACTACTCTATAGAGAAACAACTAACAACTTGTCTGAAGTCCTGCCTTATCTAAAATCTTCTTCAAAACATAATTTAGGTATCAGCGTCTTAATCTCTAGTCATCATCTCAGTTCACCAGCCATTTCCTTAAGATCCAGTAATGTACACTTTTAGTAAAGGTTTTGGCACTTGATGCCAATTCCAAAGTGGCTTAGTGAAGCAAGCGACGTTTGGTGTTGTTTGACCTCATTAAAAACTGGCATAATGTGTTGCTTATCAACGGATAAGTGCAAAGGTTTTATGTAAAAAGCTTTGATTTGATATCCTAATGTCCTGCTTCAATGAGTGAGCCTGGACCATGTTGTGAACTCCTTTACCTGTTCTTGATGGCTTCAATTCTAAAACAATACAGCCAAATGACAATAATAAGGGCAGAATAGGAGGTTCTCCACTCATATACCCCTAAGTAACAATAATTTGGCCATGGACAAAAGTACTTCTGCGGGAGTTCAGGGATTCAGGTAGAAGTTAATAATGCCCAAGACTAAGGAGGGTCATTTTAAGAAGACCAGCCTGTACCTAGCTGTAAAAAATATTAACAAACCTGACCCTGACTAAAAACTCAGAAACAAATCTATCTGGCCTTGGTTCTGATACCAGTACTGGTTAAGGGACCAGAGAAAAGCCACACACTCAGTTCCCTGAGTATAAAGCATGTTGACCTTGATCTTTGTGGATTCTGTAGTAACCTTTGACCAGAATCAGACCCTCTCAGCAGTGGTTGGGAAGCAGTGTTTCCCCTCTTTGGAGCCAGTGGGACCTATTCCCACCAGCGTCTCTGGGATGAAAGCTATGGGATGGTATATGCTATAGCAGAGTCAAAACGATGGTCAATTTAATACATATTTCCAAAAATAAATTAGTAGTAGAACTATTGAAAATGTGTACAGTATCATGTAATGTTCAATGTTGAAGATAAATATATATATATATATTTCCTTAATTTTATTATTATAAACTATATGCATTTTTTAAAAAATTTACATCAGATATATATAAACCAGAAATCATAATTTAAAAAGTGAAGATTTTTATTATTGTGATAGCAAATAAAAGGAAATATACAATATACAAACATTGAATCATAAAGAAAATCTGAACAGACCGATAAAGAGTTAGCAATTAAAGCAGTAATCAAAAACTTCCAAAAGAAAATCACAAGATCAGATAGCTTTATCAGTAAATTTTACCAAACATTTAAAAAAGAATTAGACACAATCCTTTTCAAACTCTTCTAAAAATTGAAGAGGAGATAACTTATTTTGAGGCCAGAATTATCCTAATGCCAAACAGAGACAAAGACACTACAAGAGTGATACATTATAGGCCAGTATTTCTGATTATCTTACATAGATGTGAAAATTCTCAACAAAATACTAGCAATCCAATTTGAATATAACATTTAAAAGACAATAAACAATTACCAAGTTGGTTTTTTTTCCCCAAGATGCAAGGATGGTTTCTCAAATATACGCTCTATAACATTGATAGAATGAAGGGTAAAAATAATATCATCTCAATAGATGCAGAAAAAGCATTTGAAAAAAGTCAAAATTTTTCATGATAAAAGCTCTCAACAAATTAGGTATAGAGGAATACACCTGGACATAATAAAAACCACGATAAGTCCACAAACTTATATGATAATGCCCAAAAGTTAAAAGTTTTCTCACTAAGATCAGGAACAGGACAAAGTATCCACTGTTTTCCCTTCTATTCAACCTGAAATAAATGTCCTAGCCAAAGAAATTTGGCAAGAAAAAAAAAATACTAATCAACCAAATCAGAAAAAAGAAGAAAAAGAGACTTTATAGATAAAATGATTTTGCATCTTAAAAAAAATCTATCAATAACCTGTTAGAATTTTATAATAAATTTATTAAGGTTGTAGTGTATAGAAAGAAATATGAAAATCTTTGTATTTCTGGATACTTACAAAGCTATCCAGAACCTAAATTGAGAAACAATCTTACTTACAAATAGACTAAAAAATATAAAATATTTAGAAAGGAATTTCAATAAGAAGGAAAAACATCTGTGCACTAAAACTGCAAAAATGTTGATAAATTGAAGACAAAAATAAATAGATTATCTGTGGAAGAATTTATGTTGTAACATTGTCCATGCTGTCCAAAATGATCTACAGATTCCCTATCAAAACAAACTTTTTTTTTTTTAGGTTTTTGCCAAAGGGCATATATACTTGCAGGAGAAAGAAAGAGACAGTGAGAGGGAAAGTGATAAATCACCCCCTAAAGGGGATGGCCATGCTGCAATCACGTCTCCATTCTCATCCTGGGATTTTGGGCATGCACACTCACGTACTTTTCAAGTGGCCAGGTCCAGAACTTGAACTATGTTTGACTAGCCATATGGGTATCCAGTGCCTTAGCCATCATGCCACCTGCTAGTTCCCCATCAAAATTTTAATGCTATTTTCACAGAAATAGAAAACGCAATTCTAAAACTTGCATGAAACCCTCCCCCCAACACACACACACACACACACACACACAACAAACAAACAAACAAAAATGAAAAAACCTTGAGAAAATGCTGGAGGCGTTCCAAATTTAGTTATATTACAGGGCTATAGTAATCAAAGCAATGTCATAATAGCATAAGAACAGACACAAAGAGAATTGGAACAAAATAGAATGCTCAGAAATAACCCAAGCATACAAGATCAATCCAATTTAGACAAAGATGCCAAGAACATTCAACAAGGAAGAAATAATTATCTTCAATAAGTGATGCTGGAAAACCTGTATTGGTTTTGTATTAGTGCTGGCATTGATTTTTTTGGGTGTGACATCAAGAACAAAAGCAAAAAAAAAAAATTAAGCAAAATAAACTGTGATCATATCAACTAAAATTCTGCACAACAAAGTAATCAATATAGTGAAAAAGCAATCTATGGCATGGGAGAAAATATTTTACTTTATTTGAGAAGGGGTACTATCCAAAATTTATAATAAATTCATACTTGTTCAACTTAAAAACAACAAAAATTAAAATCCCAAAGCAAAACAATGACAAAGAGAGAAGTCATACAAATGACCAAGAGATACATGGAAAGGTGCTCAACATCACTAATCACCTATAAATGTAAAATAAAACCACAATGAGATGTCACCTCACTCCTCACTCTTGTTATAATGACTACTAGCAACAAGACTAAAGATAAGCTTTGCCAAGGAGTTAGATAAGAGAGAATTTCTGTGCTCTGTTGAGGAGGATGTAAACTGGTACATTCATTATTGAAAACAGTATGGAAGTGGAACAAATAAGTAAATGCATAGTGAACATGTGGAGTCACAGTTTTCACTCTCACCCAGATTTTAAAGGTAGGCAAGAAGAGAAGGCTAATTTAAATGCCAGGCACATCAATATGAACTCATGTCTAATATAGCTAGATAGAGCATTATAGATGTGAGTGAGTATACACATATAAAAGACCTAACTGTGAGAGAGAGAGACAGAGACAGAGAGAAATGGACTCAATGCTACAATCCTCCAGCCTCCATATATATTTTTTTTTTGCCATAAGGCAGATGCCACCACACCCCAAAAAACTAGAAAAATAAATGACAAAGCTTTGTTCTCTAACAAAGTTTAGAGCAATGATATGCAAGGAGTAGTGAGCATACTCAACAAATAGAATTTATTCAAAACTACCTTGCACCCAAAGAAAGAACCAGAGTTCCAGTCCTAAATCTGTGTGCATGCCCAAAATCAAGAGAGGGGAATAAGAATGGAGGAGAAGGGATTGCAGCGTGACCATCTCCCCTGGGGGGTGCTTTATCGCTTTCTGTCTCTGTATCTCTCTCTGTCTGTCTGGCGAGTGCATGTGCCCTTTAGCAAAAACCTCTCAAAAAAAAAAAAAAAGAGAAAGGGGAATAGAGGAGAAATGATTGCAACAAACCATCA